CTGTCACATCTGCTCACTGCCTACATGCTCTCCACCTCCAACAGGATGTGTTCCAATTGGTTTGTTCAGCATCAGCTGACATCAGTTACTATGATGGAATGGAATTATGAAGGCCAGGCTCAGGGAGAAAAACATTTTCTTAGCTCGCCGGAGGAGCGTGGGAGATACAAGAGGATGAGACTGGCTAACTTGAGAACTGGAGTTTCAGTCCAGAAAGATTCTTGCTAGAGGTTGTAGCTAATAAACATAGCTGAACTGAATTTGCATTGTCTCTTAGAGTTCCTTGGGCTAGGCCTGACATCAATCTTGTATACCAGTTCAGCTTAACCAGTGTCTCATGTAGACATTGAAGAGCAGAGACAAGACAGAATTTGTTCTATTATATTCCCACAGAACAAAAGCTGAAGGGTTGAGCAACCTGCTTCCTATGAATGTTCACACTGGCCATTACTGCAGTTATGAGAGTTGAAGGGCATTTACTTGGGAAGGCTGTTCTAGAACTATGAATTTAGGGTGCAAGTTTATATGAAAATAAGCATCTCAAGTTGTTCAAGAGAATAACTGGTTTGCCCTTGAATACCAAATATTTATGAATTACTTGCACTCACACAATTATATAATTACACAATTTAAGCAATTATATATATTTTAAAAATATGGCTAATAGCCTTATCCAAGACTAAATTATTAAATTATTAAACGGTTCTTAAATTATTCAAAATATTAGACAAGAAAAAGGGTATTATTTACCCCTTCAAATGAATGTTGCCACTGGTGAATTTCTTCAAATCTTGACAATGGAGATTGAATATGGCGATCATCTGGCTGTGTGTTTGATACTTTCTTTGGTATTCGATACTGAAAAAAAAATGCATTCACAGTTGTAGTTCAAAAGAAAAAAAGAAAGAATACTTAATAGCATAAGAAAAAAAAAGATTAAAGGGCAAACTTGTTGCAAGTATTACATACAGTATAAATATATTTTTAACGGAGTCAGTATACATTTCAGAATAATTATCAAGACTCATTAGGTACAGAATTTTAATTTGCCTAAAACATCAACATTATGGTCCTCCTGGAATTATAATGCAGTATATAATGCATTTTTTGTTTTAAGAAAGTTGCATGCATTTATTTATTTTCATGCATTTATTTCCCATCCTAAGTGATGAACCAAACTGCCAAAACTTACATTTTGTAGATTTGAAGATGATTTTCTAGATCGTTCCATGGTTGCTGCTGCATAAGACAGACAGAAAACAACACCTTTATGTATCACGATATAATTAGCACTTCCAAAAAGAGCTAATTAAGATTCACAGCAACGTTAGGAGACATTATCTATTTCCCACATGTTAAAGGATGTATATCTCTTGTGAATAAGTAGCCTTCTCTAATGACTACTTTTTTTTTCTAAATCAGTCTATAGCTCCAAGGTAACTGCTGATGATAAGCTTATCCAGGTATAATGTAGAGATACTTATTTAAGTTGTACTGATAAACAAATGTCCTCAACGGTTCTCACTGTGTTTCTAGTCCCAGTTCAGATCATCACCCGCCATAATACCAACAACATAAATCTGCAATGTCCTCCCTAGTAAGGCAGGTGTGGATTTACACCATGATCTTTATGGTGCCGTGCCAAGCAAAGACATTTTTATTCTCCTAGGTCTCATATTATGTACATTTTAATAGTAACGTTTAACCTTGCTATAGAACTTTTTAATTAATATTCTTTCTTCTATTTTACTGGTTCAAAATTATTCTTTATAAATAATGCATTTTTACCTGTTCTTTAAATTTTTTTAACTGTGATTTCAAATTAGCCACTGGTAAATTCTGTTTTATAAATCTTTAAAATAAAACAAAAATGACCTACAAATTCTACCAACTTTGGTCCTCTGAATGGCTTTTCATAAAGCAGACAACCAAATGAGTGATACTGGTGTTACTCAGTTACTCATGACTTTTTATGCCAAGAAGTGAGATGCCCTGCCGTGTAAGTTTTTAACCACAAATACAATTCGCATTAATTAGTAGTATCTAAGAGACACTTATCTACATCACCAGTATATGATGATATAACCCAATATTCAAAAATAATTCCTACAGCATTATTTCATAGGTACCTACTTTCTGGCTCAAGCAAAAGGCAGATGACATTGTAGCTGTCTCTAACCATAGGTGGATCATTGCAGTCTTTTGATCACCAACAGAACTAGTATCAACTTAAGCAAATAAACTCTAGTAGCTGTCCCCAGAGTCAGGAAGGAAGTTATAGACATTTTCTTCTTTAGGCTTCTCTTTTCACTGCTAAAACTTTCTCTAGAGGGGAGGAAGCCACTCAGTCCGTGCCTTTAAGCCTTAGCAGATTTACTTAATATGCTATGCCTAAACACATGAGAAAATGAAAGCTGAGGTGGAATCCAGTTTGAAGAAAGGAAGGGTGTATAAGTTACTACACTCTCTACCATCAGCTTACATATAGATTCAAATCATGTTTGCTGGTTTGATTTAATAAGCAAATTATGTTTCAATTAAAATAAGAAATAAAAAATTAAGCTGCATGCACACAAAACAGAGCTAGGGAGAACTAAGTCTTTATTATTGTCCAAATGCTTCTATCTAGATGTTAAACCAAGGCTCACCAACTATAGATGCCACATCTGTTTTCCTTTTAATATTTTTTTTAAAATTAATGTTTTATTTAAAAATGTTTAGAGTGCCACTCTGCAGGGGATGGGGAAAGGGAGAGCCTTTCAACTACTCACTCAATGTCCTTATTTCCCTCCTTGCATCTCTCAGGAAGTTTGTGTGTGTAAAAGAGTTGGGAACAGCAAAGAACAGAGGCTGAACTGGCTGTATTTGCAACCGGTTATGCCTCCCATTTTGTCTGGCAACAGAAATGAATTTTAAGTTGAGGTTTCCCTTCCCTATTGGTTTGAATAATACAGAACCATGATTAACATAAATAAACTTCTACAAATCATGATTTTAAATCAGATTAAGATTAAAGACTCAGCCTTAACTACTGCTTAATTCATTGTTTGCATGTCATGCTAAACCTAATCAAACATAGCACAGTGCAAACCTAGTGCTTCAGGCCAGAAGTTGGAAAATAGGTTAGAGTGGGAAGTAATTGTCATCTCCTTGCAGGAAGATAAAGCAATATATAGTAATAGCTACACCACTCTCGACATATGGTTTTATTCTTGAGATCATAATTTATAGTTGATGAATACCTGGAGCAAACAGTTACTTAAACAGCTTAAAGCATGACACAGCCTGAGAAAGCATCCCTAAATATATTTATTTATTAAATCTACAGTCACAGACCAAAAGAGAACTGATGACAGCCATTTTCATTCATATAGTGCTAAATGGGGATAATATCCACGCATCAAAAACATCAGGTCTAACACACTAAGTGTTGATACAATAAACGAGCTGGCCCTGAAGGCGTCCAAAGATTTTGCCTCCACTGCAGAGATTTACAAGGAGCCCTTATAGAAAAAAGGAATCAACTCAAGAAACGAATTGTATGAGGCGAAGGGCAGCAAGAGATACCTACAATATAATAAAATAAAGCCGTGGATTTTCACCTCTGTGCTTGTGTTCCTCCGGAAGTGCGTTTCTTCCTGAATATACAAAACGCACAAAAATCCGAACTGGGATCCTAAACTCCGGAAGGAACAAAACAGAACTAACGTGGATAAAAATACGACGGCACCGCATTGTAGTTACCATCTAACCACCAAGGGACACTCTTAGCCCGCCGACCCCGCCGTTTAAGGGGCGCGCACTATATCGCGGTGTCAAACACTTCCTCCAAACTCCCCCGCAGAATCCACGTTCCTCCCGAAGGAAGGGGCTCGATCCTTGTTCCAGGAAAAAGGAAACAAGCCCTGGAACAACTCTAGTTACGAACAAGGACCCCGTCGACGCTTCCTCTTTCCTCTCACCTGATCCGACGAAGCCAAGCTCCCGCTCCAGTTACGCTCGCCTTTGTCGATTCGGATTGTCACCGGCCGGTTGTTGCGCAGCGTTCCGCGGCCACTTCCGGCAGAGGCGCCGCCCTTCGGAACAATGTTCCTGTGAACGGTGTAGCGAGGGGTTGAAAGCCTCCTTTAGCGTCTGTTCGCCAGGAGGGACTCGTCTAGCTGGGTTCCCGGGCATCTGCTTGCAGAGTTGCTGCAGAGATTTCTTGGGTTTCGGATATCCGCGCGCAACCTCTGTGGCATCTCAGTACGTATTCTAAGTCCTCCAAAAGAAGGCGTCATTTTGCACTTCGCCAAAACCGGAGCTCAGCCCTGGCCTATTTTAAAACTACAATATTTTCAACTAAGGAGAATTGAAAGATGGGGTTAATCCGATACAGGGAAAGTTGCAAAAAATGCTAAACAGCCCAAATGAGCTGTGGAGTGGAAGATTTACTCTCCCCTAATGTCAGTCTAAAAAAGAAAGAAAGATACAACTGAGTAGTGGCTTGCATTTGGAGTAGTGGTGTTCCGTAAATGGGTCGTGAAAGTCTTGTCAGTTTGAGAGTAAATCCTGTTCAGTTCACTAGACTTTACAGAGACAAGTGTGTATAGAATTGTGATCCAAAAGATTGAGCTAATCTTACAAGTACACACACACACACTGAGAGCCAGTTTGGTGTAGTGGTTAAGGCATCAGGCTAGAAACCTGCTGGCCTAGGCATAAAGCCAGCTGGGTGATACTGGGCAAGTCACTTTCTTTCAGCCCTAGAAAGGAACCAATGGCAAACCACTTCTGAAAAACCATGCCAAGAAAACTGCAGGGACTTGTCCAGGCAGTCTCGGAGAATCAGACATGGTTGAATGGATAAAAAAAAAAAAAAAGAAAAAGCTATTGCTCTTCCTTTGAGAGTATTGTTATTACCTCCAACCCAGTATCCCCATTTACCTAGCTATAAGAAGCTGTGTTTATCCAGGTTGGTTTTCTTCACAAAAAGCAACCGTTGTCTTATGCACTATTCTTGTTAAATATGGGTTGATAAGAAAATGCAAATCAAGGCAATCAATATAACACTTCCACAAGAAATAAAATAACCACCTATCTTCTGTTTTCAGAAGGGAATCCAGCACACCTAGACCTGCAGCTCTCAGTTCAAATCTCTAATTTTGGTGCTTCTAGATGGATAGATTTTAGCTTTATTGATAAATGGGCTTTAGTCTCACTAGAGTTTTATCCAACCATAGCTGTACTGACACAATAGTAATGAAGATGGGCATTATTTCTCCATAACAATGGCTAGGTGATACTGTAAAACACTAGTGGGAAAATCATCATTATATAGCTAATCTATCATTGCTAACAGATTTTTAGTGGAAAGGAAAATTTATAAGAAGCAATTGGAAATGGAAAAACTGTAAATGGAAGATGACATTTTGGGGTCCATTTTATGCCCTCTGGGAGCCAAAGCAATTATAAAATAAAGTAACCCATAAAAGCACTCACTTTCCCCAACCTTTTTCTTATCCCACTATTGTAGCTCATTTTTCCAGGTTAAATAATTAACAATTATCACTATAGTGATTTGGTTGCACTTGTCAGCTAGTTGTGCAGTCTTCTATCACTGCCTCTATATTTTCTTCCATTTCCTCTGTTCGCTGTCCTGGAAGGTATAATTTTCTTAGCAACTATAAGTCTAAATTGTATACATGCATTCCTGAAATAATATACTTTTCCTGGGCAAATGTGTTTCTACCCGATGTAGGTACATGCAGATTTATAGACCTTAATTCAGAAGTATCCATGAAATGCTCTATGTAAAATACATTAAAAATAATGGATAAATATAGGCAAGTGTTTACATGTTTAAGGATTGTTGAAATACATTTCAACAGTGCTGGACAAATGCAGCAGTTCAGTTAACAAAGGAGTGATTTAAACATTTTCCACCATGATTACTATATTTTAAATATGAGATAAATAAAAATAACTCTTGTCTCAATACAACAGTTTTAAGTCTACTTCAGTGTAACACTGTTTGCAAGTGTAAGCATGTTATACAAACATTTGTACTTAGTTTTTCTCCCTGGTGTTCCTTTCTAAAATCAATCTATAATAGCTTCTGTCATCACAGCCATACTAGTACTAGAAAACAGCAGAGTTCTACAACTCACCACTCTGGTTGGATCTATTCAGAGAGATTCCTGAAGCATACTATATGGAAGTATCTAGAAGCCTTTGGCATTATTCAAGCAACATGAGTGTAAGTATGGTCTGTATATAAATTCAACTTTATGCAAATTTTGTATTTCTTTCTTAGAGCAGAATAGTACCCAGAATATATTATGTATTTTCTACAACATATTTTCTTAGCTTAAATAATAGTGGCTATTAATATACTCTGAAGAAATATTACTAGCTGCTACAACATGCATCTTTTCTACATTCTAGTTCGGCATATATCAGTCTATGTTTCCTGAGCCATCTGTGTGTGTAATTAAGTAAACTCCAGTGAGATATTAATAAAATGATGAGCAGAGAGAGCGTGAGGAGCATATTCAAGCATCCTGAGAAAGATCCCCCATCTACGTTTACATAAATGTAATTCATAATATAGTTTTCTTGCATTTGGGCATAATGTGATAAAGTTCAATTCACCTGTTACAGACTACCAAGCGCAAATGATAGTATAATGGTTTGTCCAACAAATAATAGTTAAAAACAACTGAATTCAGCATCAAAAGCTGTAATAACTATTCCAGTACAAATGCTTGATGCACTTTTAGTCATTCTAAACATAATCATTTCTTTATAATAACATGTACAGTACCTTCTAACGTGTTCTTGGTACTCTGTGAGCTTGGTTATTTGTTTGCCAGCATTTCATTACCCAACTAGGTAACATTTTCAGTGCAATAACACTAATGATATCTGGTGTTGCACCTAAAACATAATGCATTTGGGCCTGGCCAACTGAAAGTAGCTCTGCTTTGAATTTCTTGAAGTAGGAAGGGCAGAAATATAGATCATGTTCTAGCCACTTTATGTATTTCTGAGTCATGCTGATTTCAGGGGAAGAGACGATTGCTTGCTTAACTCCTCCCCTTGGGTCAATATAATCGAAGTATCACTCTTCAGTTGTTTCATATATTCCTATATTCATATTCCTAGAGCTTGTAGTTCTAACACAATTCTTACTGCTTTATGAAAATATGTGAAAAGCAATATTGTATGTACCATCTCTACATTTTAATAAAATGTACATTTTTAATGAAATGTACATTTTAATAAAATTGTTACAGAAATTTGAAAACCTTTTTTTAAGAAATTAAATATGTTTAACACAATTTCTTTATTTATAGTGGCTACAAATGATTGAAGATCTGAGCTTCAGGAAACTAATAAATAGTTCAGAGTGTCCAGAAAAACTTAAATATGACTTTAACAAAAATGGTGAGCTTAGGCATGTAGATACTAATGAGCCTTTTGTTTTTAACTATCAAAATTCTTATAAAGATAATCACAAACGTTACCAAATTCTTGGACAGTTAATAACTCAGTATGTTTATGAGCTCCTTGAAAAAGCTTGCAATCTGCAGAAGATTTACTTCCCAACGTGTGTGGCAGACAGTGAAATTTGTAGTTTCTTTTTCATGAGTGAGAATGCACTGACAAATAGCTCAACTTTACTTGTCCTTCTTCAAGATCAGGGGACATTTCGTGCAGGCCAGTGGGGACAAAGGACCATAATTCATGAAGGCCTTCAACATGGATCTCAGATACCTTTCATTACAAAAGCTCTACAGTACTCTTGGGGAGTGATTGCTTTAAATCCTAATGACAATTTTGTAGATCTGAAAATAGAACCAGAATGTTTAAGTCTTTTTGAGAATGACACTATTTGTCCTCTAAATTTATCATGGGCAGTCCCAAAGAGAAACAGCAGTAACCCTGAAGAACATGCAATGTATGTTTGGGATCACTTCATTTCAAAGAGTGCATCTAGAAATGTGGCCTTTGTTGCCCATGGCTATGGAGGATTGATTTTTTTCAATTTGCTCATGCAAAGAACTTTGGAAGTGATGAACAAAGTGTATGCTGTTGCACTTATTGACTCTAAGCATCATATGAAGCATCAGACACAAGACAATTCCCAGGTGCAAACATGGATATGGAAGCACTGCCGAGAGTGGGTGTCAAATAGTAAGCCTATAGATAGGTCAGTAGGCTGCCTTGTGAAAATGGATTGTCCTACAGTCTCCACAGGATATGAAAAATACAGTATGGCTCCTTCTTCTAGCCTGCAGTCCATCTTCAAGTATCTAAAGAATGCACTGAAAACCAGTACTAAAGATTATTTCAGTCGATCACCTATTGCAACAAGGAGCAAAAATACCATGAAAAAAAATTAAGAAAGTATGTGTTTCATGCCCAGTTTTCTTTTATCAGAAAAAAGTATATTCTATGCAAATGCCTAGACACACTCTTAAAGTAAACTATTTTATTTAATAGATTATTCCTTTTTTTCTCCCTTGGGCTGAAGCTGATGTTACTATGATGTTCTGTAAGGTGCAATTTTGAATTAGATGGTTATGCTTTATTTCAGTTTCTGAAAGGATACTTTGTATGAATTTGTAATTTAGTAACAGTTTCTTCTTTCAATGTCTTACAAATAAATTATTTGACAAAGCTTTTTAAAAACTGGTGTTTAATCTGAACTATCAGTAAAACAATGAAAATGTAAATATGACTGATAGTTTAATACCTATCAGAAATAGGTTTAAAATCTTCTTTGAAGTATTAGTCAATTTATCTGTAATTTGAATTAGCATAGTTCTGGATGTTCTAAACCTCAGACTACATTTATAGTGAATCTGTTCAAATCACTTTGCCTGATTTTAGTTTCATTTTATTATCCTTCATCTAGCCTATTATCACCTATGGACATCCATTTCAGAGAATATTGCCCCTTTTTGTGAATGAAATAGAGAAAAATATCTGGGCGTCATCAACCCATTTGTAATGCCCAGCACCAAACATGAGAAACAACATAGTCTCCCATCTATTAGTTTTATAGACGGGACTGATAAGTCATATATCTGACTAAGGGTGTTTTCAAACTAGTTTGAAATATGTCTAGATAATATTGTTTCTCCAAGATTTCTGGAAGCTGATTAGCCACACCTTCTCTATAACTTTTCCCAACTACAGGAGTTGGAGACAAACCTACTGTTTAAGAGATCTACAGTAGGCTTCTTAAGGTCTAAACAAGGCATTCTGTCCTTTGTCAATGAGGTATTAATGATGTTATCTAGGCCACAGTGAATTCAGCCACAGTGGGCAAGGATCCAAATAGGCGGAGAGCTGTACCATTCCAAGCAGCTTGCCCGTATCCTCAAGAGTCAAAATTTATCCAATATCAATCTTACAGATTACTGGATATCCCATTAATTGACTGCAAAAACACTGGAATCTCAGTTTGCCCAGATGCAGGAGGTTTTAACTGCAAAGATCTCATTAAAGTATAATAAGTCATAACTTCTTGGAGCAAATTTGAAATAGAAGCTTTAACTAACCACCTGGGAAAATTTTGTCAGATGTAAGCCAGCTGTGCCTTATGCACAGAATAAAATTGCATATTTGTTGTACATATAGTTACAGCATAGGTATTCAAATAGGTTTGTGTGATGGAATGGAATTATGAAGGCCAGGCTCAGGGAGAAAAACATTTTCTTACATCTCCTGAGGAGCATGAGAGATGTA